TAATTTGATAGTGCCAATAGGTAAGTAAAATTAAAATTAATATATATATATATATATATATAAATTCATATATATCACATAAAGTATACTTTTTCAGTAGTACTGGATAGTAATAAAATAGTATCAAAACATTTATTATCACGACGACAATCTTCGCCATCATCGTCCACTAATATTAGTATTATAAATAATGAAAATAGCAAAATATTTGAATTTGAACAATTGTTGGAAACTATTCAATTGTCTCCGATATCTCAAAAAGATACTGCCAATTGTTTTAATAAATTAAGGTATCAATTTTTTCTAATTATTTAAAAAAAATGTATACATTTTTAATATTTAAAAATTATTTATAGGAAAAATATTCCATTAGAAGGAAAATCTAATGGTTGCGTCACTGCCACTATAAAATCTACTGCACTTTCTTTAGGACATGATGTTCCATTATCGTCCACAAGCAGCACAGATACTATTCCAAGTTCCAATAATTACAGTTGGGCACCTGCATTATATCAACATAAACACGGTAAAATTATTTTTATAGATGTAATATAATAAATATAATAAAATATAATAAAAGCCATAAATCATTAAAATAATTTTTTATTCTAGGTCAGAAAAATATTTTAGAGGCTACTGCATCATCTAATGATACTTCCAATAAATGCACAGCAGAAAAGTAAATACAATTTCTTATTTCATTAATGAAATATCTATATAATTTTATAATTTTATATATAAATATAAAAATATTTAAAAATATAAAATTATATTATTATTATTACAGATCATTAGAAGAAACTAATTCGTGAAATTAAATTTGAGCTGTATCTGACATCTTTAACGCTATAAATATTCTGTGATTTTTTTTATTTACATATATACAATGTGTTAATTAATATTGTTAAAGCAATAAGTAGTAAGAATTAGAGACTTAATATTTGAATATTCTAATAATAGTGGTAAGTGTAATATTTTATTAAAAATGATATTTTTTGTAACAAGTACTAAATATTGTAAAAAAATATTGCACGTTTATTTTATGATTATATCAATACTGCTTAACTCTTAATTGGACATCAGTATTACAACATTGATTTTTTTCAATTTAAAAAATATATAAAAAAAAATATTATGTATATAAAATATATTTAATTCTAAGTAAACTTATATTCAATTATTAATATATTGTATAATATGAAAATACTCAATATGTTTATCTCTGCAATTGGTTATGGTATTACAAATATTATAAGAACAAATTTTATATTATTTTTATGTGATTGCTTGTGAATATACATAAAGCGAGCACAGCCCATGACAGTAAAATAAAATAAAGAACATTAAATATATATTATTTACTATTGTATCTACTATATACTATTAAATCTTATTATAAGTACATAAATTAACTTTTAATAATAATGCGTCATTCTAGTGGAATAAAAATATAAATTAATTACTGTTTGCAGTTCAGGCTTTGGCGTTTATTACATTTGCATGACATTTATATAATAAAAAATATCATTAAAACATAAATCATTTCTCACTCTTATTATACATATATTCATACACACCTATTATCACATATAAATCGGGTTAGAAACCAGAAGATATTTATCTGAGCTGCCAACAGTATTTTAAATAATAGAAAATTATATGTGATACACAATTTATACAAATTTTACATTTCATTTCATGTATCATTTGTTATTTTTTATAATTTTTTTTAAACAAATATTTATTAAAAATTGTTTTAAAAAATTCAATGATGAACTATCACAAATAAAAAAATTTTTTTTAATTTTCTTTTATGAAAATATTTTTTAAATATTATTCTTTTAATATTATGCGCGGGATATATAATAAGGAAAAAATAACTATTTTATCATACTATTATCTTGTATTCCAATTAAGGAATATAAATTGTTAAGTAGTATTATATGTTATTCCATTTTGCATATATTCAACAATTAATTCGTTGCAAACTTTTTCATCTTCTGGATATTCTTTTGCTTTTTCTTCATTTGGTATATAATGTGCACCACTGAACTTATAAAAATATCTGCCAATTGCATGATGATTTATCCATTCTGGATTAGGAGCCAATAATAAATTTTCTAATAATAAATTAAAAATATTTAAAAATATTTTGTTTTTTTTATAATAAAAACAATGTCATATATAATAAAAACAAGGTAATAAATAATTTTACCTTGAGCTGCATATTGACATGAGCCATCATCTACAAATATTTTATAAAATGGTTGATCTGCACCTTCTTCTAATCCATCTACGTTCATTTCGTTCATCCATTCTGTAGATGCCATACAACGGACATCCCATCCTGTTATTACACATAAATATCCATATATTTTGTGTTTCATTATTAATCCTATTGCATATTTTACACTTGGAATTCTTTTCTTTGGTTTTATTTCTTCCTGAATAAAATATAAGAAATAAATGTAAATTATAAATTTTTATGTAAAATTTATTATAAAATTAAAATAAACTTTCATTATTTAAAAATTTTAACAAGCAGTACCTTAGGTTGTAATCTTTTTTGACATTTTTGGAGCGTTTTAAAAGTCTGTGAAATCATATTTGCTTGTCCTCTTGACATTAACTCCAAATCCTATAAATTTTAATAAGACTTTGATACAAAAATAAATTTAATCCTTCATATCGTATATTATCAATTTTATAAAATACCTTTTGCATATTTTCTAATATTTTCACCAATTCAGTCAAATCCATATGTTGTGACATATATATTCGTCCTAATTGTAAAACTGTGTTCGTGTCATTGGGTTGTATCATATATCGAAGTTCAAGTGCAGAACGTAATCTTGCAGTTCTATGAGTACCATTTATATGAGTATGTTGTCTAGCAGCTATTTCTAAATTATTTGCCATTCTTGTTACTACCTATTAAAAATTATTCCTATTATAAATTGAAAGAATAGTATATAACAATGAATTTTAATTCAAAGAAACTATCAACCTCTATAGCAGTTGCTTCTTCATGAACATTATATTTTTCTATTGGACATCTTGAAACACCTCCAATTCTAGGACAATTTTTTTTAGTTAAAAATTGACCACCATTGAAGACATCAATATAATAATTTTCAGTGTCTTTAAATTCTGGTGCACTACAATGAAACATACAAATATTTAAATTTAATTAAATTAATGAAATTTGATATCATATAATTATTAACAATTAAGATTCTATTCTATAAGGATTTTTGTTTTTAGCAAAAACTTAAAATACATATATTACAAATATTCATTATCTATGAATCATAATAATAATTGAAAACTTACTATGTTTCTTTCCATCGTAATAAAAAATGAGATGGAAAACTAACAGGCTCACAGCGTATACCAAGTCTTCGAGCAACACTTTCAAATACTATTGCTAAAGTTATAGGAATTCCGCGTCTACGTTCTAAAACCTAATAACAAAATTTTATATATATTCAAAAATAATATTTAAAATAATTCGTTATTTTTTTATTTTTTATAATGTTTATTCATAACTTACGCGATCTATGAACGAATTTTCTGATGAATAATACATTTCACTATTTCCATAGAATCCTAATTTTTCAAATAATACTTTACATAATGCATCTGTTACTTGTCTTGTTTCTGAAATATTCCACTGATTGTCATCAATAATATTATTTTTCCAAAAGATAAATCTCTCAATTGGAATTGAAAATATAGAATGATTTGGATGTTGTTCTCTGAGTAACTCTTTTGTTTGTTCTGCAATATTATCTAATATTGATGATATTGTCGGATATGATACATGTCTTTCTGGTTGACTCCATTGTGCTACAATAGTTGCACCACGTTCTAAAGTTTGTTGTTTTGATGGTAAAGATATAAATTTTTGCCATTCATCTTTCAAATGAGTTTGTTTTAAATATCGAACAACTTTGAGAGCATAATATCTATGTGTTAAATTGCTTACTCTAAAAATATTAATATTATTTAATAATAATAAATTCTAAGAAAAAATATCTTTGTTATCGATATACTTACATAGCAGGACATTTAATTAATGTTATAAGTTCATCTATTAGAAAATAATAAGCTAAAGGATGAGCACCTTCTTTTGGACAAAATAATGAATCAAATTCTTTAAATTCAGAATTGGATAATTCTTGTTTTTTATGATGTTTATTAGACATAGAAGATAAAAGACAAAGTAATTTGGTTCTACTATTCAAACTAGTTTTTACTTCTTCTTTCCAGTTTATCATTTGATGCTCTAATTCTTTACTTGTCTGATATACTTCTTTTAAAAGTGGCCATCTATTATTAAAAAAAATTAATTAAATTAGATCAAATAAAAGTACTTGTATAATTTATAAAATATAATTGTAAAATTATTAATTTAATTTTATTTAAGATTTTACAGATTTTGTATCTTGTTATAATTAAGAAGAATAATTTTTGTTAAATTTTGTTAAAATAATCTGTATTTATAATGTTATGTGTTTAAATAAATATAACTTATAAGTTTATTTTTCAAACTAAAATAGCAATTTATATTTCATTTATTCTGTCTAATATAAATAAAAAATTCAGCTTTGATTTAAAATTCCATTACAAATTTCGTAATAAAAATAAATAAAAAAACAATCATTTTTCAACTTAAGTGTATATATAATCTGTTTGATTTTTTATTATAATAATTTCTCAATATTCAAATTGACAAATACCTTTGAAAAAATTTAGTCTTCCAAAGTTTATTATTTTCGTTGACAATTTTGTACAAACTTTTACACGTTGAACTAAAATTAATGACATCCGAAAAGTCAAGTAATTTATCTTCCAAAATATACACGATTATCTCTCCAGGTAACGAGATTATTGCGTCACTTGCCATGCTTGTTACTTTGCCTTACAATATTTGGCTAACTTTATTTCTTTCGTTCAAAAATTCGTAAGATATTTTTACATTTTCTAATAGCATAATAACAATTTCAACTTTAAAAATCCATGCAATCGAGTTATATATATGTAAAATTATATTTTACGAGTTACTTCGACCGCCATTATGATTTTACTCACAATTCATCCAATGAGAAGAGTTTCTTGTTCTTCATGATGACGTCATATATGTCTTGCTTATGTTACCATTTTTACCGACATCTGAATAATTTTATTTAATTGCTTAGATTTTTTAAATTTTGAGTTAAATTTATATTATAATGAGTTTATCTAAAAAATTTTTTGTTTTATTCATTCTACAGTATAGATAATTATTATATTAATTTGTAGCTATTAATATTACTAGATATCGGTAAAAATGGTAGTATAAATAAGACATATATCAGAAGACTATAAATTTTTCTCATTGAATTATTAAACTGTTAATCTGAAATCACTATGACGATCGAAATAATATAAAATATCCATAAAACATCGTAATTTTCACATTTAATTCATTTGATATAATTTTTAATTTCAGATTCTTAAAATTAAAATTTTTGAATTTTACTTGACAAATGTCAGAAAATATAAATATATATCACAAATTTTTGGTTCAAAAAAATAAATAATTCAGCAATTAAACTGATCCTCTATATATAAAATATTATATAAAATTGAGCGAAACACATTTTATATATATATTTGTCATTCCACTGCCTCAAAATCAAGAACTTTTGTCAGGAACACTTAAATTAACACTTTTAGAAAAATACGCGGTTGACCAGGAAAACCGCACTGAAATATTGCTTCTAGATAGATAAAACACTACTACAAAAATAATAGCAATACTCAGCTTGACAACCAGTTAGTATTGTATGAATCATAAGTATTAGCCAATAGGAATAAAATTCTCTTCTAAACTAAACACAAACTTCCAATAGTAGCATTTTATTGAAGCACAATCTACAAACTAATGAAAAGTATATGTATATATTACATATATCATAAATACTTATTTGTTTGAGATTAATACAAAATATAATTTCAAATATTATATTAAATTATATAATGTCTTTGTTTCTAATGATATATTTAATTAATTTTTTTTTCTATATACGAAAATTGTAATAATCTAAATTTTTATGTTTTTAATTTGCATAAAAAATACTGTTATTATTTTTTATATTTTATTATATAAAAATTTTAATGATTCAATATTTGAATTAATTTAATATACATGGTAGAACATACTCTGACGAAGAGTCATACAATCGACTTCATCAATTTTTAATGTATTTGTTTTAATATTAATATCTTCTTCAATCTGAATTTGTGTTTTCAGTAAATAACGCAATGATGCTTGAGCCTAAAAAAATAATATAATTATTACTATATATTATATATAAAATTAAATTAAAATAAACATAATAAATTATAAAAAATGTAAAATATAGACCTCAAACATAGTTGCTTGTAATTTAGACATAACATCGCGTAAATCATATACTTCTTTTACAAGATTATTTTCGACTAAATCTCGAGTAAGTTCTAATCCTGGTCTTTGACAACGATTACCAAGTCTCGTATGAGCCAAAGCTAAGAAACATTCCTTTTCTGCAATTGATTTTTCTATACGCGTAATATTCTCTTTCATTTCTTCTGCTTGTCGCATTATCTACACATATATTATATATATACATATTTTAATATCTTTTTTATTAAACATTTTTTTTGTTGATTTATATTCGAATTAATAAATATATTATAATATTTATGTTCATATTTATATAATGTTATTTTTATAATTTTTAATTAAAAATCTATAATTATACTATGCACACACCTCAGAATGCTGTAATTCTAATTTCGTTTTTGCTTCCTTGGTTTCTTCGATGCGGCGTCTGAAAGCTTCATTAGTAGCATTTTTTTGTTCATTTAGATCATCAATTGCTTGTTTTATAATTGTATCGATATAACAGCGCAAAGTTATAGCACAATTTACTTCTTTCGAAGCTATCATGATATTGTTATTAGTTTGTATTTCCCATTCATTCAATTCGATAGTTCTTAATGAATAAAAATAAATTAAAATAAATTTTAATAAATCAAATGAATTTAAGAAATTAAGATGAATAAAAAACTTAAAAAGTAATACTTACGAAGGATCGAGTCGTGAAGTGCCATGATAAATGCTTAAATTTAAACTAGTTTCTTTTAACGTTAAATTATGTTTGTCAATACGTAAATTATTTTCTTTATCCTCAAGTTCATGATCCATATAATAAAGTGTCGCTTTTAATCGACGTATTTGTTCCTGAGTTTGTTCTAAAGTTCGAACTAATAAATTTTCAACACCCCTAATTACTTCGCATTCTTTTATCAATTCTTTTTCAACGTCATCATGAACCAAATCAATTCCTAATCTTTGTTCTCTATAGTTAAAATAATAAAAATACTACTTATTAAATTTTGTGGTTCAATTTTTATAAGAAATTTAAAATATTTTAGTAGTTAAAATATAAGTTATATTTTTAATCGAATTAAGAAAATCATATTATTTGATCTATTTATTTGAAAATCTATTTAAATTAATAAAACTAGACTTTTCTTTAAGTTTCACATGCAAATCACCAATTATATTAATTTATGATATTTTCAATGTTTTGAATAATTTTGAAAAATATTTGCTGGATAATTATTTATTGTTTCTTTTTTCTATTTATTAAATCTTACCTAAAAACAAGACACTTTTCGCAAATAATAAGAGCACTTTTCCTTATGGATGATAAAGCATCCATAATACGTTCCTTATATATCGATAAAGTATCAATTTCAAGGATAACTTCTTTTCTTATACGTAATAATTCCTTTTTACGAAATTCTATATCTCCAATTTTTTCTTAAGTCTATGATCTGTTTCTTCTTTATTATTTTTTATTGTTTCAGAACTCAATTCACAAATACGTTGAGATTCATTAAGTAATCGATCTGCTAATTCTTGTTGCGCTTCTGAACATCGATACCTAATAAATACTTTTTATGTTATATTATTTTATCTTTTATTATTATTTAAAACTTAGTTGAAAGAAAAGACGCGATATTATTGTTTATTATTAAATATTCATACCTATGACGATTATTTAGATGCCACTGATATAAAGTAAACTTCAATGGAGGTGGAGGAACTAATTCAAGTGGACGATTGTTTAGCATTTTATTTTTCAATTTCGAAAACACGTACGAAGAAATAACGTTTTGTTAAAGCAACGGGTTCACAGGTTTGATCTATATATGAAGAATCAGTTCAAGTTTCTATAGAAACGTTTAACGTTTAACCTATAAATTAATTTCTTATTTAATTTATTTATAAAGAAATTATATATTAAATATTATATTGTAATATAAACACATTATTTTTACATGAAATAATGTACTTCTTATTAATATTTTTATTAAATAAACTATTTCTTAATTTATATGAACAAAAAATTATTTAAATACCAACTATAAACAAGATATAGAATATATCTTCATTTTATAAAACTTCGCATTCCATGTTTTTAATTATCCTTAAATTGAATTATCTTACCATTTTTATGTTATACGTGATGTTATCGGTTCAATATAAGCGAAATTTCGAAAGCTTATCATATCCAATTTGACTGAAACTTTGAAGATAGCTTTATTTTGTATGAAAACGATATTTAGAAAAAAGACTTTTAGCGATTCAAAAATCCAAAATATTGCATATATGTTTTATCATTTAATATTATTTTCAATATTACCGACAAAACATAGAATTATAACAGAATTCAACTCAAATAAATTAATTTAAATTTATCTTTATTAAATTTCTGTATATATATATTTTATATCATCTAATAGTTGATAAAATAAATCTTCTTTGATTTTTATCTTATATCATAAATATTCATATATAAAATCAATTCATAATATGTCTATAGAGAATCCTTCGGATTTATGCGAAAATGAAATATAAAACAATTCTGCGATAGAAATTATGACTGAAATTACAATGATAAATATTAAATATAATGCTGATATTGTTATTATTATAATTTCGATCATTATAATTTCGAATGCACATAAAAAATAGAAAACATAGAAATTTTAAATAGAGTATAGTATAAATATTTTGAATGTTAATAATCTAAATCATAATTCTTAGAAGAATTTTAAAAAGTTCTTATAGAGACATGTACACAATCAATTTATTTTAATTAATGTTGTAATTTTATGTTGTACTATATTGATAATGAAGAAATGTTAAAATGTTTTTCGCAAAATTTGGATCTCTTTTGAATCGCTAAAAATCTATATTGTTTTTAAAATGAAATAATTTATAAAATTTCAATTAAATCATAATAAATTTTCAGAAGTAACCGAAAATTTCACTTTAAAAAATAGATATATAATAAAATATAATATAATATATATCTGTTATTATTAATAGTAATAGTTATGTAGTATAAATTATAATTAATAATTATATATACATATAATACATATATATACATATATATTACAAAACAAAAATTATATATATAAAAAAGTAATATTATAATTTATATTTTAAAAATATTATTAAATGAAGATGAAATGAAACTTTTTGTATTATTAAAATATAAGTTTTTTTTTCAAAAATGATAGTAAATTAATAGAAATATATTATCATTATGCAAAATTATGATTCTTTGTACATATTCCATTGGTGTATTCACTAGAAGAATTAAAAATCTGGAATCAGAATTTATGATTCAAAGTTTTCAGATAGGTTAGGTTTCAATATAGATATTTTAATATTTCTATTAATTATAATCTACAGTTAGAAATGATTTTTGAATTAATTCCTTATTATTTTAATTTTATTTTTAATCTTATTCGTATGATAATTAACTAAAAATAAAAGAAATATAATAAAGATTGTATCCTCTATATATCTATTCTATTAAAAAATAGAATTAACAATCTAGAATTATACATATAGAAACAGAATTATCAATAAATTTATAATTTTAAAATCTATAAAATGAATTATTATAAATTGAATGCATAATTATATTTTCGATTAAAATGTTTTAAGGAAATGGTAATATATAAGTAATGATTCTTAAATGAAATATCTGATTTTAAAATAAATCTGCACTTACACATTAATTTTCAATGTTTTTATTTTACTTTTCTTTTAATTGATATGATAACAAGATGATGTTATCTATCTTTCTTAATTTATTTAATTTACATCAGATGGATATACAATATAGTTAAAAATCTAAATATAAATGATAACTATGTTTCTTATCTATTTAATCTTTATAATCATGGTGAATGATGTTTTCACTTTATTTTTTGATTTGCCGCGTATGCAACGCTATGATATAATGGCGGCTTCCGTTATAAGCATATATGTAGAGTTGGAAAAAAAGCATTCGAAAGGAATGTGAATTTGATTGGTTATTTCTGATAGAACTAATACAATCATATAAATAGGTACGCATATTGGCCGAAAGTATCACATTCACAAAGACGATCATATAACACCGCGTGTCGATGAGCAAAAGAGGGGAGGATTCCCCTTACCCCTATATCTCCCCATGAAACTTCTTTCTAACTCTGCATAGTACTTTTTGTCGACCGTTTTCATAAAAATGTAAAAATCTGTCGAGAAAACAATCTTTTCGACAGGTTTTAGATATCTAAAAATGACATAGTGATATCGAAACTTTAAGATATTTGTGGAGAGGATCGCTGGTGGTATTAGTATACGTTACGAGGTACGGATTCTTTTGATCAATAACAAAATTTCAAAGACTGTAAGCAATAAATTAGATACAAAGTGTTTGTTTTTCATTTTCTAATTTTTGTATACTTGAATTTTCAGAAAGGGAAAAACGCTTGCAGCAAAATGTCAAAGCGACCTGCAGAAAGTGGGGATTCGGGTTCCCAGCCACCTATTAAAAAAGTTCAATTCGAACCGATTTTAATCGGACCTATTTCAACTCTTGAAGAAATGGATATGAAAGTTTTACAGTTTCAAAATAAAAAATTGGCCCAGGTTAGTTGTCAAATATACATTTATAGAAATATGTATGAATTTGCAATATTTGAAAAATATTTTATTATAAATAAGATTACATTTTAATATATCAATCTTTATAATAAAACAATTGTCATTTTTTACAACTAATATTATTATTATTATGATAATTCATTATAAATGTAGATGTCATATAAAAGTATTATTTATTATTAATAATATAAAAAATTAATTTATTATGTAAGTATATAATATTATTCCATATTTGTTTAATTGTTAACATACATATTGGATCGAAAAGATATAATAGATATTATTTAGATAAGATTATTATTATTATTTTATATATTTTAATATTAAATATTAAATTACAACATTTTGATTGATTATGTTTTTTAATTATTATATATTTATTATTTTGATTTTAATTATTTATTTACAATAAGTAATGATTAATTTTCTGATTGATTATTTTTTTTATATCCTCTCTTAATCAAAATATAAAATTATATTCATAGTTTCCTTTTATATTATATTATTTTGATCTTCTAGAGATTAGAACAGCGTCATAGAGTAGAAGCTGAATTAAGAGAACGAATTCAACAATTGGAAATACGGCAAATGCAAGATGATGCAGTGCTTAATGTTGTTAATCGTTATTGGAATCAATTAAATGAAGATATACGTATATTACTTCAAAGATTTGATGCTGAAACAGCTGATGAATCTGAAAATAAAAGTAAAAAAACTAATATATATATAATAATTGCATTTATTAAATCTCTAGATTTTTATAATTTATAATAAATGTTATAATAAATATAATTATAGATGAAAGTGAAGCTACAACATCATTTCTCATGCAGCTTTCTTCATGGGACAAAGAAGAATTAAATGATAAATTAGCAAATCGTGTTCAAGTATCTAAACGTGCTGTTTCTAAAGTTGTACAGGCATTTGATCGTCTTTCTCAAAGAAATGAAAAAATTACTCTTGCACTTAAAGGAGAATTTGATGGAGGTATTTTATTGAAATATATTTTAAAATAAAAAATATTTTTAAAAAATATATAATAAAATATTATATATAAAAATAAAACCATATATATATAAATAAAATATTTTTATATATATAAAAAATATATATAAAAATGTATAATAATATATATATAAATATAAATTTATAATTATATATTATAATATAAATTATGAAAAATTATTATTTATATTTAGAAGAAGCACCTAATATTGATGAAGTAGTGCGTAGAGCAAATGCTGAAATACAAATGGAAAATAGGAATCTTCAAGCAATAAATATACAACTTCATGAAAAATATCACACTATTTCATTAAAGGTAAAATAATGTTATATTTATTTTAATAAGTAATATTTAAATTATGTATTAATAAGTATATTTTTTTACAGATGTCAGAATTACAAGATACCATAACAGCAAAAGATACATTTGCTTTAGAACTTTGTAACCAAGTAGAAGATCTTCAGTATGAATTGAATAAAGTGCGAGCTCGTAATGATAAATTAGAACATCATCTTGGAGAAGCAATTGAGAAATTAAAAGCATTTCAACAAATACATGGTACAGATGAAAAAGGAAGTAACAAACCAAATACTTTAGTTGCATCAAGTGTCTCACAAACGAAGGTATAATATATAATAATAATAATAATATTACAATAAATAATTATTATATTTTATTACATGGTGATTTTTTGTTAAAATCATTATATGTTTAATTCTATTTTGTTTTTTATAGCTCGAAGATTTACAAAGAGAATTGGAAGAAACCAGAGAGTTAGCTAATAATAGGTTGCAAGAACTGGATAAATTACATCAACAACATCGCGATGCGTTGAAAGAAGTAGAAGAATTAAAAATGGATGTGAGTTCTTTGGTTTTTGTTTATATTTTTATGATATCCAATATAGAATGTAAATTAATGTCATGTGCAATAAATACTTATATTGTCTTTGCTTTTGCTGATTTCTTGTGTTTTACTTTTTTATATTAATAGATAAAATATAATGTAAAAAAAAAGTTCAAGTATTATTGTATAGTTCATATATCATATATAAGTTCAAGTATTTGAAAAATATTTTATATTTGCAGATACGACAACTTCCAGAATCAGTAATTGTTGAAACAACAGAATATAAATGTTTACAATCACAATTTTCTGTATTATATAATGAATCAATGCAATTAAAAACGCAATTAGATGATGCTCGTCAGCAATTGCAATCTAGCAAGAACGCTCATTTACGTCATATTGAAATGATGGAGGTAAATATTACTTTTTTTTTTTTTTTTTTTTTTTTTTCTATAAAATTATCAGAATTATATAAATTCATTAATATCTTTAGAGCGAGGAATTAATGGCACAAAAAAAATTACGTGGAGAATGCATACAATTGGAAGATGTTCTAGCTCAATTAAGAAAAGAATATGAAATGTTAAGAATAGAATTTGAACAAAATTTAGCAGCAAATGAGCAAACAGGACCGATAAATCGAGAAATGAGACATTTGATCACATCTTTGCAGAATCATAATCAACAACTTAAAGGCGAGGTTCATCGTTATAAACGAAAGTATAAAGAAGCTTCATCAGAAATACCAAAAGTATGCATTAATATTATAATTTAAAAAAAAAAATAGATTAACAAAATAAAAGTATTTACAGTTGATATACGTTTATTGTAGTTAAAGAAAGAAATTGAAGAATTAACGACAAAATTGGGTCAACAAACATCTCAAGAAAATAAAGAAGGCAATAATTCAGACGGCAGTGGAAAAGAAGAAGATGCATCAAATTCTCTTCCAGGTTCAACACAGGTAAAATAAATTATTTTAACATATTTTTTTCATATTGAATCTGATATTTTTCATATTATAAAAATAATTCTTTAAACTTTTGTAATTTAGATAAAGGAGGAGAGTGGAGTTTCAATAAAAAGAGAATCTGGAGAAGAAGAAATAGAAACTATTGAAGTTGGAGAAGGAGAAGGAAATAAGGGTACTCCAGATTCCTTAACTTTAACATCTCCAACCTTAAAAAAAGAGAAAGATATTAAACGTGAAAAAGATATAAAGAAAGAAACTATAAAAACTGAACACCGCGATCCTGCTCATCGTGCCAAAGATACGAAAGTAGCAGAATCGGAGCTTGTTAGAGATTTGAAAGCACAACTTAAGTATGTCGTGTATTATTTTCAATATAATTTATATTTATTTATTATTTACTTGATCATTTTAATTACAGGAAAGCTGTTAATGAAATGAAAGAAATGAAATTATTGTTGGATATGTATAAAGGTGTTGGAAAGGAACAAAGAGATAAAGTGCAACTAATGGCAGCTGAACGGAAAACAAGAGCAGAATTAGATGAATTACGTCAACAATTAAAAAAAAATTCAAGTACTTTTAATTTACATTAAATTATAATTTAAAATCTTATATTTCTTAAAAATTTTATCAATTAAATTTTTTTTTTTTTTTTTTTTTTTAGGAAAGTAAAAGAGAAGAACGTAAGAAATTAGCAGATGAAGATGCACAAATAAAGATTAAAAAATTAGAAGAGCAAGCATACACCCTCCAGCGTCAAGTTGCTTCTCAAAAGCAGGTAACTTTATATATTTGATAAATTCTATAAAACACAAGTCTTATTTAAAACTATGAACTATTGGTAATGCTAAACAGAATTGTGTGTGGTTTCAGGAAGAAGAGGCTCTTTTGAATGAAATGGAAGTAACTGGACAAGCTTTTGAAGATATGCAAGAACAGAATTCTAGATTGATTCAACAATTACGTGAAAAGGATGATGCGAATTTTAAACTTATGACAGAGAGGATAAAAAGTAATCAATTACATAAATTGGCTAGAGAGGAGAAAGACGTTTTGAAAGAACAAGTTTCTACTTTAACAACGCAAGTTGAAGCTGCTAATGTTGTTGTTCGTAAATTAGAAGAAAAAGAACGTCTTTTACAAAATTCACTTGCAACTGTTGAAAAGGAATTAGCTTTGAGACAACAAGCAATGGAAATGCATAAGCGGAAAGCTATTGAAAGTGCTCAATCTGCAGCTGATTTAAAACTTCATCTCGGTAAGAGATTTATTTAAAGATATTTATATTTGTATTTGTAATATTATATATATTTAATTAATAA